AAAAAAAAAAAGAAATAAGTGTTAGTAACGATGATGAAAAATTGAAACCCTCATGTGCTGGTAGGCATATAAAATGTCACAGTTTCTTTGACAAACCATTTGGCAACATACAATACGATCAATGTATTTACCATCTGATGTGCAGCTCTCCTTCCCATTGTACATCCGAAAGCACTAAACTGTGTGGCACATGTTCAGACAGCACTACTCAGCATTGTGTGGAAACATCCCAAAGCCATCAACACATGAATAGCTACACAAAGTGCTGTATCTATACAACAGGATGAAGCACTGACAAATCGGATTTATGACTGTCGAAACCATTTTGTTGGGGGCTGAAGAGATGGCTCGGGGTTAAGACCACATTCTCCTCTTACAGAGGACCTAAGTTTGGTCCTTAGCACCCATGTCATGTGGCTCACAACCCCCTGTAATGCCAGCTCCAGCAAATCTAATAATTCTGTCCTCACAGGCACCTACATGTACCCACAAACATGTACAGACATACGTATAAAAAGTCCTCTAAAAATCCCCAAATCTTTAAAAATGAGAAAGCAGAAATAAAAAAAGAACAAACAAACAAAACACCAAGCAAGAGATGCCAGACCTGAAAAGCTATACGTTATCCAATCCCATTTGTACAAAATGCCCCAAATGTGCAAATTTGTGGAGAGAGAAGCAGACCAGTGGTTTCCAGGGGCCAGGAGAAGAGGGGAGCAGGAGAGGACTGCTTGCGTCTCTGATCCAGATAAAGGAGATTGCGGTGATGTGACTATGAGCACTGATTTATACACTTTAACATGAAAAAGGAAATTTTTATCATCTATTTTGAGAGAAAAACATCATAATTGTGCAAATAACTGATTTACTGTTTAGATTTGAGAGTCATTTACTAATGTCTCTGCTCAGAACCACAAGCTTTCGCTTTCCTATGCATGTCCCTTCAGTAGCTACTCTTCTGCTTTCTGCGTCCAGGATTCTTGCTCTCCTCTTGGGCGGCAGGCTCTGCGGTTTCCAGTCCCATTTAAAAGGTTTCAGAAGTTTTCTGATTATGAGTTAATCTCTACTAACTATAAAGAGACAGATAGTTCTAGGCAGAAAAGTGAGGGGTAGCAAGAGTGCACAGCATGTCTCCTTCATCCAGCCATCAGCCTGTAGTCACTTCTGAGATTTCAACTTTTTTTAAAAAGTAGGTACAAAGTCGCCGGGCAGTGGTGACGCGTGCCTTTAATCCCAGCACTC